AACCCTATGGGAAACTTTACCTCGGATTGAGACCAACTCGAGTTGCAACCAGAGTCACGGAACGGATTAAGTTCGTATCCCGAGGTACCACTGTATTTTGGATTAAATCACTATCAATCCCCCATGCTTATTAATATTATCAAACATTCCTGTACACAGCTCTCTTCATATTTGATTTTAAACTTATATTGGTCAACCAAAAATGACTAGGGCACATGAAAGCAATGGGATATTCCCTCGCTCAGAATTAAACTGGGATGACAAGAACAGATTCTATACAAGCTACAGTTACAAATATGGTAAAATATAACCTGTGCCAAACAGAAAGGAGCTTAAGAGTGAGGTTCTGTGATCTGTTCTTCTGATTTTCCCTTTGGAAGGTAAAACAGCTATGAGGAAAGCTAATCTTTCTAGATTTTTTTTAAATAAAGGTCCATGTTTCAGCTTCTCTGGGCGGCAACTTCTACTAAATTTATAATCCTCTTTTTAACAGAAGTATTTGGACCAAATCATGAATCACTCCATCACATGTTGTTTCTTTGTAATTTAGAACTGAAATTCTAAATAGGGTGAAATAGGGATGAAGAGGAAAAACCTGTCATATTACCTATTAATTGCACAGCTCTCACAAAATTCCATCTTGTCCTTTAGAAGACTTCCTTAGGATATAAGGTGAGGAAAAGAGATGATAAATAAAGAAAATATTTACAATGTAAAAATTTAAGAATCCAGATTTATTCAAGTTCTGAAAGAAAGATAAACAAAATAAACATAGGCAAAGCAGGAATCTTTGCAAGCAGCTTCCCTCAAACTCTGAAAAATGTAATATCAAATATACTGAATTATATTTGAAATCATGAGTGGTTAGAAAAATCAAATGTAATTTAATGTGTAATAAAATCCACTTGTTTCCTACACAAGTCCTATAAATGTATGAAGCAATCCAGTCCTCTTTGAAGAAGTTTTAATTACTTTCTAACTTCGGGGTGGGGACAGGATTTATGGGACCTGTTTGCTAGCTCTACGTAGTTAGTTACAAACTGCTAAGCATTCACGCTAAGACCCAAGAAAAGGATTAACATATAAATTGATCTAAAGAAATAACTTGTATTGTCTACACTGTTCCTTTCTGAAACTTAGTGGATAAATACCTTTTTCATACAACTTAAATGTTTCTCAAGATCAGGGCTGCCCTACCATTACACAGAATGAGACAGATCCTAGAGGTGGGGATATCCAAACTATATATATCACATCACCTGTCTTGTACCTCCCCCAGCCCCCATACCATAAAAGACACTGTTCTGTCACAGCTATTCAACTGCCAACCTGGTCAATTTCTGAATATTAAGTGGGGATGGGGGTAGTTGTATATTTCACAACTGGCAGCAAAAAGCCTCGGATTAGTCCTACCCAAGTTCACCTGGCTACTCGCAGTGCAAATTATTCTTTATGGTGAGACAGTAAAGCCATTTTTATATCTGACCATATCAAGGGGGCCCATGATATTAAAATGCTCTATTTTAGCACAGTATAGTGTTCAATGTATTATTTACATATCCTTTAAAAGCTATTTCAATCATTATGTCATGAAAGTTCATATTCTATGCACAATTACAGTCAATACTTTAAGACAATATATGATGCATATTCTTACTAAGTACAATCCACCCTCTATATTCATAAATAGTGCACACCCAGAAACATTAGTAGGAATACAGACTTACTTTATATTAATAGCATGATTCAGTACAAAACCAGGATTCTCACAGCTCACTAATATATAACCCTGCAGTGAGCATTTTGTTCACATCCAATAATGCCAAATAAAAAGCAGATCATAATTTAAACTTGTTTAATGAACAAAGTAAAAATGGCGTGATTAATTGAGACAATGATTAATAAATTTAACCCTATATAAAAGGTTTGGAGTGAGTCCAAATACAAAACAGACCATCCAAGAACCTGCAACCTCCAAAAATATATGAATGGAAACCTTACCACAAACCAAAAAATTACTGCTAATAATTCACTGAAGTGTAACAATCAGATTTTGGCAAGAGTAGCTTGGAGGGAACTCAAATATAAATTACCTCAGGAAGATTCAGGTAGGGGAAGTACCATTTGGGGCCTTAGAATAACTTCTGCTAGCCTTGCTGGAAAAATATAGTTACAATGAATGCCTTTTCAGTGTCATTTCACTGAAGAATACAGGGTAATCAGTCCCAGCATTGAAAGGACCTGATGCAAAAGGCAGCAACTACAGCACAAGCAATTACAGCAAGCAGAAGCAATGTAACACCATAGCATTACTATGGCTGTAAAATCAAATCTGAATATGCAGCGGAAAATGTTAGTCTGAGGTCATACTAAATGAAATTGTTGTTTCCACCTTTTTCTTTAACATTTACAATAAATAAGATTACAACACAGTAACAACCATTTTTAAAAGTTTAAAAACTTTTTGTGAGCCTTATTTTCAATAGGAAAAAAAAGGACACTGGTGTCAGAATCTCCCACTACCTCTCATCACTGAGATCTATACAATGCAATTCAAATTGCATAAAGTAGCATAGCTACTTTCCACACATATTACTCATGTATATTTGTATTTAACCTCTATACTATGTATGTATGTATGTATGTATATATACACATACATAAACACGCACTTTCCACTGAAGTTCATTGCCTTTAATGTACAATGGTGCTTGCATGTTACTTTTACAATCTTATAAAAATGACTTTTAATGTACAAAACTGCAATTCTATCTGTTTTACTAGAGAGATTCCTACTAAAAAATCTCCAAATCTTAAAAGTATCACCCTCCCAATTAAAAGACAAAAACATATTTCCATCTCTCTTATTAATAGTTCTTTTACCCATTTTTTTACTTGATTTCTCTTATTGTTTGACTACAAAGAACTTGAAAATGTACACAGGCAAAGTGCTGTTCTTTGCAAATCAGAACCAGGCCAAGATAGACCCATCCTTTTCATATCCATTTACAAACAGTCAAGACACATTAACATAACTCCTGTGGATGAATGCCTAAAAAACAGAGACAATCATCATATTAAAGCCATCACACTTCTTGACTTTTTTGAAATGCCAGATCTTTTTTGTTATGTCTCAATCTAGATAGTAGCAAAAAATTTAAAAACTCAAATGTTGAGACTCCATGCTGGTACATTTGCAATTATCTTGCAAAAAAGTTGCATATTTAACAAGCCAAGAACATCTTCTACTATCAAATCTTGGGCACTGATTTTTTTTCTCTCTCTCTCAGGTTCTCACATTCACACACCCCCCCCCCAGCACAAAATGGCGACGTGGACAATTGGGGGAGGAGAAGAAATAAAAGAGTGAAAACATCCTAAGAAAAAGAAGGATGGGGGAAGAGGGAGGGCACAAGAGGACATAAGAAAAAAAGACAAAAAGGCAAAAGTAGATGGACAGAAAGATCTTCACAGGAAGAAAAGAAAATAGGAAGAAAAATGGTAGCTGAGAAGCATAAAAGGGGGTGTTGCTACGAACAAAAGATGGACATGAAAAATATGTCTGAAGGGAGATTTTCCAAGTACACTCTGCCTGTCTTGAACCATCAGGTAAACCAAGTGCGTTAAAAATTTTAAAAATGAGACCCAAAATTTCGAAGAACAGGATCAGGTTAAAACTGGGGAGAGGGCGAGAATTTACATAATTTGGCAACTTCCAGACACACGTCAGACTACAATACCCATAATCCATAGTTTCGCTCAGCGAGGAGGATGGGGACTGTCTGCGATCACACGGTTGGAAAAGGCTGGGATGAATAATCGCTCCTAGACTGACGTGAGTTTGCCAGTGAAGACTGAGAGATTATAAAGATGGGGGAAAGGAAAGGTTCTTCCTCCGCGTCTCCTCCTCGCATACAGACGCTCCCTCCTTCCTGAAACTCCACATACCCAATTACATTGTTTAAAAAATGGGGGAAAGCCTCTGTTCTCCTTCAGGACCCTAACAACCGCAGGTAGCCCAATCCGGGAAAGGCTTCCAGGCCGCGACCGGGCAGCGAAGGGCAAAGGATCATCTTCTTACCTTTTCTTCTCGCAGGAGCCACCCGTCGTCGCGCAAGGCTCCATGGCGACAGCTGAGGCCAGCTTGGCTGGCCGAAACAGGCTCTCACAGGACGGCGGGCTTCAGCGGCCTGCAAACGCGAAGGAAGGAAGAAGCCAACGAGCGCGGGAGGCGGGGAAATACTCTCCAAGCGGGCCAGAGGCGCTTCGCGAGTGGCGGCCGGCCGGCTGTGAAGTGGAGCTGGCTGAAGGGGGCGGCAGAGGGGAAAAGAGGAGGCCCGGCAGGCGGAGCCGAAACGGCCGGCCTCCGCCTCGCCTTCTCGTCACGAGCGCGGCCTGCCCCAATGAGAACCCTCCTGGCAGTCCGGTCCCCCTCACAGCCCCTCTTGGCTGAGCCCACGGCGGGAAGGCGTGGCGCGTCTTCCCACTTCACGTGACGGGCGGTACGCGGGAGTGGAGGGGAGCCGGCCTCCCTCGGCGTGGCTTTCGCGTTTGCTTGCTTTCCTGATAGGAAGGGTGGCGTTTGGAAGTCTCGGCCCTCAGTTCTTCTGCTCCTGCCCGAAGAGCGAACTGTATTTTGAGCATGCACAGCAGGCATATTTCACCCCCGCCGACTAGCCCACCCACAAGCCTACGCTTATCTTGGGTAATGCGTGGATGCTGCTGCACCATCTGAATTGTTTTTATTCCACCCTTAAAATGCAGTCTAGCTTGCATATAGTAAACAAGCAATGTAACCGCAGGGTTAAGGCAATTTTTTTTTTAATGGGTAACTATGAAACGAAATTGATATAAAATTGAAACATGTTTCTAAGAGGCTGTGTTTGCCCAAGAAATTTTACTGACTTACTCAACCCAATAAATTGACCATAATTTAATCACGAAGGCTGGGCTTATATGACAAACGAGCCTATTTATTTTTGGATGTTTTATGTGCTTTAGATATATTTATAGTTTTAATGTTTTTTGTAAGTCGCCCAGAGTCCCCTATTGTGGGGGAGATGGGTGGGGGAGAAAAGGAAGGAAGGAAGGAAGGAAGGAAGAGAGAGAGAGAGAGAAAGAGATTTATTGCATGCTGCTTTGGCTGTGAAGTGACGATGGATTATAGGATATGAGTAAAACAATGTAAAAAATATTGCAAGGCTTCGTGGCGACGGCAGGGGCTAGCTGTCTTAATCTTAACAAAAGGACAAAGTCAATAGTAAACTACATGGTGCACATTGGGGAAGGGTAACTAAACAAACATATTCCCAACCAACCATCATCAGAGAACTGATTGCTCCACACTACCCCAGGGTCTGCTGAAATGTTCCCCAGCGGTACAAGCTTTCATCACACTTTCCATGGAAAATAGGCCCACTTGTTCTACACTAAAAAATGAGCAAGAGGTTACACTGCAGTACTTTCCTTCCAATAAATATGCTGAGGTTTGTAGCCCATGTGCACTTATTTGGGGCAAGTTTCACCAAACATAGTAGATCATAACTTCAAGTATGGAGAAACATAAATAAATATGGCCATATTTTTTCTCTCTCAGGTTCTCACATTCACACACACACCCCAGCACAAAATGGCGACATGGACAGAAAAGGTGTAATTAGCTAAATTCCCCAAACAATACATAATACAATGAATATATCCAACATGTCCATCTGTCCATATGTGTGTCTTTATGTGTCACAAGTGGGATTGTTACCATTACTTGCTACCTGATCCTTTTAACTTTGTATGCTAGACACTGAACAATCATTATCTGCAAATAACGCAATAGACTTTTCCCAGCCTATTGGTCCGAACAATACGTAATGGCAGGGTTGGATCACTCTCTAGCCAAGAACAATTTAGCGTAGCATGTAATTATAAACTACTAGGTTCCATTTAGAAATGTCCTCTATATTAAAAAGCAAATATTACCTTGCACATTAAGTGTCATACTGATATGCTTGGAGCATTATGCCCAAAATCTCTTCTATAGCATAAGAAAAAATGACTACCACTTTCCAAAAAGTCATTTTCACACCAACATATGGATTCAAGAAATTCCTGATCACTTGGTATGGTACTCCTGTGCAAGGATATTGATATGACACATCATATAAGTTATTGTTTATTTAACTGTTTTTAGAAGGCACAACAGAGTAGGATCACATAATATATATTAATGAAAAGGCAGTCAAACTGCACAGCTGACTTGATGTGTTGTGGGAAACCAGCCTACAATTCAATGAGCTACTGGCTTTGTTGAGCTTCACTATTACCCTATTTGAATGGAAAATCTTCAGCTTAGTGATTAAAGATTCCTTTTATATCAGCACATCATAGATGAAGATGGGCCAGCTTATCTACCACAAATTACTAGAGACTTGGTTGAAATGCTAAAGAAACGTGTTTCTCTAGAAACTATCTTTAAAAAAATATCAGCACTTGGATGCTTCCTTTGCAATAGCAACAAACTCTTTATTGGTTCAGAAAAATCTTGCCCAGCAATGAAAAAAGTCAACTACTGACTCATATATTCTGACACCACAACCTTCTTTTCCTTTTGTCTCTCCAGGTATGTTAGACTATAATTCCCATCACTGCCAGATAGCATGTGGAGGATTTCTGAGAAAGGCTGGCTAAGAGCACCAGATATGGGGTAATATCAAAGGAAATTTGATGATATTTTCTCAAACAGGTAGAGAAAAGATGCCTCAATCATACTGCAAGCAGTGTCTGGGAGGTCATTTTTGCTACTGTGAATTCAGCTGCTCAGAAGTAACCAAAATCTAATCCTTAGGTATTCATGTGTAAATAATCTTACTTGCCATATTATTGGAAGCCTAACGGAAACCCCGCCTCCTGCGCTTTCCAGCTGGGCTCTGCTCTAGGAAGGAGGCAATGGCAAA